AAAAATAGCGACTTGAAGATTCATATCTGACAAGAATAGCCTTCGCATATCCTTTCCCTTATTTTTTTTGGATGGTTACGATTGCAGAGCCCTATTGATATCCGCGCCTCAGATGTCGATTTCGCGTATCTGGATAAAATCGTCTTCACAAATTATGACAAGACTGGCCCAGTCAGCATTCAAAATAATGGCCACTCAGGTAAGCCAAAGCTAGAATCACTATTGACAGCATACATTCTTCCTTTTCAGTCACGGTAGAAGGCTTTGAGGATTGGAATGAGAATGAACCATATATTGAAGAAGGAGGGCTGAAGTACAGATACCGTCTGGCCAAGTTTCACTTTCACTGGTCTCAAAATTACCTCGGTTCTGAGCATGCAATTGGTGGTCTACGTTATCCTGGAGAAGTGCGAGCCATTGCTGACTTTCTTTTTTTGAGCGAGAAAGAATTTTGTTTAGCTTCATTTGGTGCACTTTCGAGATGACTTGACAGAATCACAAGCAGCCGCGACTCAAGGCGGCATTGCCGTCTTGGGCGTTTTTCTGTTAGTCGGAAATGATAGTACACCAACAGCAGCAGTTTCATCGGCTTTGAATGATGTCATATACCCTGGTAAGGGCAGCGACTGCTCCGATATAAGTGCTCATCACTCTTTATGCAGGAAACTCATCAACCATTGAGAACTTCTGTCTGAAGTCACTCTTGCCGGAGAATACCGATTCCTTCTTTCGTTATGACGGTAGCCTGACCACACCAGGATGCAACGAAGTCGTCACGTGGACGGTCTTCGCAGAGCCAATCACTATTGCACCACTGCAAGTAAGTACCCTACCAAGTGTGCTGCACCCTATCTCTAAAGGCAAACGCGGAAAAGGAATCTGCCCTAATGGGGCGCGTTAAAGTCAGTGCCCGGGCAAAATTTCGAACGAAGTTTTTTTTTTTTGCATACCTGGGCTCATCCTTCCCGCTAAATGCGAAAATGCAACGTGCAGTGTACGAAGTTGTAGAAAACGGGCTATTCCAGAAGCCCTGGGGAGGTATGTATCAATCTCCTATACGGGAATGCGTTCCCGTTCCCTACGCTAGAGTATGGTCCGATCTGGCAA